GCCGCACAGCCCCGGTCCCGCCGTCCCCGTGTCGCCAGGCACGGAGACCTCCGCACCGTCGTTGGAAACTACTTTTATCCCAATTACGTTGCTTCCCTAGGGATCGCCATTTTATTTTATTTTATTTTATTTTATTTTATTTTATTTTATTTTATTTTATTTTATTTTATTTTATTTTATTTTATTTTATTTTATTTTATCCCCACACGGAGGACATGTCATCTTCACCCCCCGAGAAAGCTGAGCACCCCTGCCGATGGGCACTCTGCTCATTAGCTCACCCAGCTCCTTGCCGCCTAGCTCTACCAGCCTTGGACACCCTGGCCTGGCATTGCCAAGACTCATCTAAAGCCCAGTTTTGTGAGAAGGCTATCACGACAAATATCTGTTTTCGTTTGGTTGAATTGGTTTTGTTTCCCAATATTGAGCTGTGTTTGTATGAATTTTCTTGCTGTCTCTGGCACTGCTTTTGCTTTGCACTTCTTGTGGGAAGGTATGGTTTGGGAACATATCTCCCTCAAAAAGCATTGACCAGAAGGTGTATTTTTTTTTTCTGATGGTCAGTCCCAGACTGTTCTGTGTGCTGAGAAATGCTTGTTTCAAAGGTAGGAACTTGATTTCTTAGATTTGAGGGGTGCTGGGTACTGGTGGCTGTGTGTGGCATCCAGTGATTTGCACTTTGGTGGGGAAGAGCAGCTCAAGAAGACTGCAGGTCGCCACAGAAAGGAAATCTTAATAGCTTTGCACACCGAAAGGGAGGCTGCCCTTTATTAGTGCCAGCTGGACCTGGGAAGCAGAGCTTGACCCCACGTGTTGAGCTCAGCAAGAGCCAAATTGCAGGAGCAGGTAAAGGTCATCCCGTGTCTGAGGCAACGCAGGGTAGGAAACGTCAGTGCCAAGGACCCCCTCCTGCCTGCTTTTATTTGGCATCCCTTTCACACAAAGCACATCCAGGCTTCACAAAGCCACCCTGCTGCACGGCACAGCCCCGCGACTGTGCACGTGCGGAGAGGAGCAA